TTCAGATCACAGAATATTGCGCTTTTCTCTCAATGTTCTCTACGATACTATGTTGATTTCACCTATGCCCATTTTTTGCAAAGCTAACTATGATGCACTCAACGAATATTTCGATTCCATAGATTGGTGGTCTACTTTCCATGGATATTCAAGCGCGAACGATATTTACATCAGATTGTGTTCAGTTGTTTATTCCGGCTTGAGCAGATACGTCCTATTTTGGATCCCTAAAACCAGAGAAAAATGTTATCCAAAACATATACAAAATCTTTCGGAACAAAAGCAGAAACTTGTGTCAGATAATAGTAATCCTCTCTACAAGAATGTCTGCTTAGATATAGATTTCCATATGAAGCGGTTTTATGCAAACTATGAGGCACGCTTGATGAAAAGGTCCTCCACCAAACCATTCTTCAACTACCTATGAATGAAAAGCAAAAGACAAGCAATTTCACCTCAGCTGGAAGATGAGTCTGTCAATATCTTCACCAATGACTCAAAGAAGGCAAACGCTCTAGCTCGACAATTCTCAAGTGTATTCATGCCTCTAAGTGATTCTCATTTAGTCAATTTTGACGAGTCATTGATCTTTAGTAATCCACCGTAATCCAGCACATTGCTATTGAGCCTACTTATGTACTGAAGTATTCGTTGCTACGTTCGATGGAATCCCTCAGATACTATACAAACGTTGCGCCAAAAGTCTCTACAAGCCTTTGACCATGATCTTTAATGTTTCTATGCTAATGAAATCAGTTCCATCTTTATGGAAGGAAGCATTAGTCACCGCTATATCCAAGATTCCTAACACTCGATTATTGAATAACTTCCGACAGAGAGACAACTACTCAACTTCTGGATAGTACGTTTGACTGGCTTACGGCTCTGAATAACGAGTGTTCCGTTGATGTCATATTCTTTGATCTCTCTAAAACATTTGACAGAGTAAACCATTCGGAGCTCATCCAAAAGTTGAAAATGATTGGACTTGGTGGAAATTTGTTGGATTGGCTTGCATCTTATTTGTCGGATCGCCATATGTGGGTCAAAGTGGGGAACTCGTCTTCTGAACGCTACCTGTGTTTTGGTGGTGTCCCGCAGGGCGGAGTACTCTCTCCTATACTTTTCCTTGTGTACTGCTTTGATCTTCCGAAAGTACTAAGAACCCACCCCTCAGTCAATTATACGCAGATGACATCAAAGTTTATGCCATGTATAACCAGGACAGTTGCGATGAAGTATTTGTTGCCCTTTCTAGATCCATAGAGAGAACTTTGAGGTGGTCTTGTGATTGGGAGTTGCCCGTCAATCTATCGAGAACTTTTGTAATGCATGTTGGAAAAGGCCACGGTTTCCAGTATCGACATAGCCGGTCGTTGGTAAAGGATTTATGGTATACTTTCTATTCAGAAATTTACACAGCAAGAACAGAAATGTTTTCCTGAGGCTTTATAAGGCGTACGTGCTCCCACAACTTGATTTCTGTTGTCAGGTATGGAGTCCTCAAACAAAAAAATGCCGAGTCAAAATTGAAGGAGTGCAACAAATTTTCATCAGGCTTCTTATGTATAGATCCAAGTCGAGCCTTACGCGTTCTCATCACTCCTTTCCCAGCTATAGCGTTAGGCTAAGCCTTTCAGGTCTGAAAACCCTCTTCTACCGGAGAATCTACCACGATTTGGTGTTGTGCTTCCGAGTGTTGCGCATGGAGACCAAATTGAGAGCAACTAGTGCTGGGTCCTTCGACCAGCAAATGGATGTACGAGCAGTTTCGTTTTAGACTAGATGCCTGTAAAAAAACAACATTCAACGAAGATGCATAATTCATTTTTCTGCCAGACGGCGCGATGGCTGGATGTTGCCTGAGGGGATTGTAATTGCGCCTAATTTTTCAGTCTTCCGTCGTAAACTGAATAAGGTGAGCATTTTGCCTTTACTGAATATTCAAGATTTTTAGATATCCTTGTTTGTCTTTGCATGTTGCAGAACCCAGTTTTTTCTTCACCGCAAGAGGAAGGTGTTAATGAATGATGAACTGCGTGGATGAATAGTGATAAAAAGGCCGGTGGTCAATGATGGAACCGTTACACACACTGGACGTCAAAACGCACTTCATAATCTCATATGCCTCTGATTTTGCTTGATGTTGCGTTGGCTATGTTTTGAGGAAACTTCTATCTGGGCAGCCAGCTCTACAAATACCGCCTCTCCACTTTCGGTCGCCTTGGTGATTGCCGTCTCTTTCATAACAAACTGCAGTGGTTAGAGGTGCGAGTCAACAGCTGAGTTTTTTACGCCCACTAATGATGTTGGAGCCACTAATGGTGTCAATGAAAGCATCTCTTATTTCCTTTCACTTCAATTTTATTTATGTGCAAATATAACGTCCAGTGTGTGTAATGGCGATGATAGTTTTCTGGATTTTCTGTGCTGTGTATTTCTGTATTGTTCTCCTACCATGTTTGGCGCATCTTGTATGCAAAATAAATAAATAAATAATGCGTTGATTTTTCGGATTTCATAAATATACAGACACAGACACCTTTATGCACGAGGAATGCAAACCCTTAAACTATTTCTGCGAGTCCATTTTCTTCCTGAGAACCGGAACGTCGGTATGAGATCAGCGTCATAAAATGCATACGTGTATGCACATCTCTCATCACGAATGACCACTACGAACCAGCTTCCTTCTCTTGTGAAACTTTGCTATTTGACCATAACCGCCATAAGCGCACTGTAGAGTGAAAAGGCAATAATCTGAGCTATTTTATACGGTTTACTACCACTTAAAATTAATTAGAGTTGAAGTATATTAAGAAGCCACTTTGCACCGCCCATTGAAGAACATGGTCTGTGCGGCATTCTAGTATTTTCACATGCTCTCTCTTCATATTGCCCCGAGCCACAGTCATTCCAGGCTTGATACGACCCCTACGGTGCTTTTTAGAGTAATACCGAACTTTGTGACAGTCAGACGACAGGGGAACGCGAGCGCTTCATCTATGCTTGCGACTGTAGACAGCACACCATTCGATGAAGCCGACCCAATGACGAGTCTGAGACTAAAAAGCAATGAAAAACTGTTACGCCTCAGTCGCAGCATTAGTAACAGTAGAGACATTCTTGTGCTGTTCGTTCATCTCACAAATGGTACTGAACAAGTACACATCCAAAGCAGTGACTTGTAAGCCATGCTCAATAAATACTACGTTTCTGCTGTTTGAGGCATTTCTGCCTTTCTGGGGTTGGGGCCTAATGATGGAAAGGTTATCGTACCATAATTGGATGCTCACATCTTCCACTGAATCCATTTGTACACTAGTTTGGAAAGAAGGATATGGATTGGCAGCTCACTCGTGCGAACGATAAAAACCTTTTCGAAAAAATCAGATCAATGGGTGATTGAAATTCTAAAATAGCATACACGTAAAAGCAAGACTAGTTCATAGAGCACGTCTTTTATTCAAACAGTTCAATAAAGAATCAGAAACAAGCAAGCCTGTAGTAATCACCTTACATTATAACTGGTATTTCTAGGTCTCACTTACACCAACTCAGACAGCGGTCAGAGCGGAAATCATAAAACTTATTCGTTGTCTCTTTTCAACAATCGGAACGCTCTTCTTGGTTTCGAGATGAATTCTTCGTAAGCGCCCTTTGCGTTGTCAGGTAGAGGGTTCAAAACTGTTGAGTGCTTTAATAGAGCTCCGAACGATACCTGAAAGCTATGTTTTTGAGAATACAGAAGCTTTGATAACAAGCGAGCAAGAGTAATGACACTGTTCGACCGATTGAGGCCTACTATACTCTTACAAGCGAGCAAGCGTTATGACGCTGATTGACCGATCGAAGCCTACTATACTATTGCTTGTTGGACTTATCTCAGCCCTCAGCGGACTTATCTCAATTCCCAGCTAAGGTCTATCCAGAGAGAGGCGGAACCATTTTACTTGTGAAAGTTTCATTTATGATATAGCAAACGAGTAAGGAAGCTTCATGCAAAGTCTGGCCAACTAGACTTGAATACATCTAAGGGAAAGCCACGACTGGACGAATTGCATTGCGAGCTCTTGTTGAACCACGCTACTCGAGTGGACGTAGCTAATATATGCGTTCCATTCAGCAGAGTTGTCTTCACCATTCGGCAGTGTCATGTTAGGTTCACAACCGCTGGGAATATCTTTAAGCAATATTAATCGAACATTGTGATCGGAACATTGGAAAAAAGAGGGGTACCCACTTAACAACTTATCGAATAATGTTTTCGTAATGCTTGATACCCGCACATAGGTTCTCCCTTGTCGCGGTGTACGGGCTCTAGGCGAGACCGGGATCCCGCAAGGGAAAGGCCCCGCCGAACCCTCTGACCGACCGGCTCTCGTGACCAAAGTACCCGAAGTGCTCAAGTTCATGGAGGGACGGCGCCCTCCTTGAGCAACAGGAACGCCCCAGCGAGGCTATCCTGTGAGACGAAAAATGCTACGACCACTTTTGCCACTCGCCTTAGTCCCCTGCAGTCTGTCCCTGCCCAGTCCGGTAGCGCTGGATCAGCACACAGTCAAAGGCGAAGAAATCTCAGGGCCGTAGGCTACCATAGAAAAAGGACAAGAGTGAGCCACCTGATCACATGCACATATAACTGCACTCATGAGCGTCAGTACGGCCATTCAGCTCTCAACCTCGATTAAAGAATCACAACGAATTTCATATCATGTGATTGGACTGAGTGAAACGAAGCGGACAGAGTCTTGACGTGTACATGGAGGGATGGACTGCGGTTTTTCTCGGCGCTCGTGAGACAAGATCAACATCAGGAGAAGTTGGCTTTATAGTGGCACCCGAGTTTGCAAGGAAAGTTACGAGTGTCACATTTCACAGCTATCGATTCGTTCCTATCGTAGCTATTGTCACATTCCTGACCACGACTTTCGCCAAGGACATCAGCATTTCTATCATTTAAGTATACGCCCCCACCAGTGATTGTTCCGACGATCAACATGAGGACTTTTACGACGATCTCGGCGAGCTCGTTCGTTCGATCGCAGAAAAGCAGCTACATAGTGGTATCTGGTGATTTCAACGCACGAGTTGGTGAAAGAAGTTCAGGAGAACGCCTTATCGGACCAAACTGTGCTGAACAACGGAACGCCGTTGGAGAGAGGCTGCCGAACTTTTGCGAGATGTATCACATGTTTCATGGTAACGGCCAGTTCGTTAAAGCGCCAACGAAAAGATGGACTTATGTGTCCCCGAATGGGCAATACTATCACGAACTAGACCATATCCTGTGTAGCAGAAGAGCCATCACAGATGTCGGAGTAGTCCCATCATTCAATANGAAGTTCGTCACGCAATCGAAACAATGCCGAAAAGAAGAGCCCCTGGAGCTGACGGATTATCCTTGGAGGCCCTACAAGCATGCAGTCATAAAATTCACTGTGCTTTAGCCCAGCGCTTCACTCGCTACGTCAATGACTGCAAATCACCAGACGCATAGAGCAACTCCAAGACAATTCTGCAGTTCAAAAAGGGAGACAAAGAAGACTTAGACGACTATCGACCAATTACGCTCCTGCCGGTGATATACAAAGTATTGACACGTTGCCTGCTCGCTCGAATGAAGAGGAAACTTGATGAAGCCCAACCGGTCGAACAGGCAGAATTCCGACGAAAGTTCAGCACTTTAAACCACATCATTACTTGCTGTCAAGTTATTGAAGCTGCTCGAGAATACCACGAACCGCTGATACTAACATTCATCGACTATCGGAAAGCATTCGATTCAATAGAACGAGAAAAGATATGGTCGGCTCTTAACGAACAAGGTATCGGTCCCCGTTACACGAAAATCTCAAAGGAATGCTACTCAGGATGTGTAACAGTGTTCCGGCCGTTCTTCCGCGACCTAGAGGTGACTGTGGAAAAGGGGTCCGCCAAGGAGGCCCTATCTCCCCAAATCTTTTCGCTGCATGCCTGGAATACACTATACGTCACTGCGCATGGGATTCCAAAGGAATCAAAATCGACGGAAGGTATTTAAGTCATCTGAGCTTTGCGGACGACATAGTTCTCATTTCAAGAACATCGAATCAAACTTCAATGTTGAATGACCTACATACAGTTGGTATCAAGGCCGGTTTGAACATCAAGATGAAGAAAACGAAATGCATGAGGAACGAATACTCAGATCGCAATCCTGTTTACCTACAAGGAAAACCTTCAGAGGATGTCAATGAATGAGTGTACCTTGGTCGGCTACTTAACATGAAAAATGACTTGAAGAGCGAATTGGTGAGAAGGAATTGGGCTGCGTATAATTCGATTAGAAACGTAACTGAAAATACCAGGGACGACGAATTGGGAGCAACCCTGTTTAACTCCACGGTGCTACCAGCCCTGAGTTACGCAAGCGAAACTCGGTCTCTGACGAAAAATTTGGAAAACCAGCGACGAAGGATACAAATATCCCTCAAGCGTCGAATGGTCGGGATAATCTGCATCAACAACGGCTCAACAGGCTGCACAATGAAGAGATACATTCGTTGTCTAAAGTTCGCGATACTATTCTGCACATCGACAAAGCAAAACACACCTTTGCTGGACATCTGATAAGTCACTATGACGGTCGTTGGAGTACAACAAGTGTGTGCTGGGAACCACGCGAGAAGAAACGGCTTCGTGGTCGACCTCCTCCACGATGACAAGACTCTCTTGCTCACAGAAACAATATCTGCGATTCTAATTCAATTAAGGTATCAGTCCACTAGACGACATTGGCTCAAGATAGAAAATCATGGAAAAGAATTTGGGACCCGCGCAAGAGCAATCGCAGCTGGCAACGGGTCGCCAAGTAATATAAGTAAGTGATGCTTGATAGCTCACAAGGTGTTCACATTCAAAGAGATAGACCAAAAACAGCTTTTCTGTCTAGCTGCATCACAAGAATTTTTGTTCACTATTGCGACTTACGGAAAAAGAGTTTGCTGTTCTATGTGAATTCAGTTTCCTGCATTCCCCGAAAACGGAGTTACTTCCTGAACGAAAAGGGATATATCCTGTTTAGAAACAGATTCCAGTGTATCATGGTAGGAAAGGGCAAGAGCTCAATTGATTTCCAATATGCTTCAACTCTAATCAATTTTGAATGGCAGTAAAGCCATATGTAAAATTCGCCCGAGAGATTATTACTTTTTTGCTCCACCGAAGTGTGCCTATGGCGAACATGGCCAAATAGCAAAGTCCCATAAGAAAGGGATACTGTTTCGCGGTGGTCATTCGAGATAAGAGATGTGCATACAGATATGCATTTTATAAAGCTGATCTCATACAGAAGTGCATCATCTTCTCAGAGTACATCATGGAACTTCCTCATATGATATGAATTTTAGCGAGCATATATCGAGGATAAGTAGCTGAGTAAGATGTAAAGCAGGAAGCGGTGGGAGCAACAGGTAAGGGAATGGACTCGCAGACGTAGTCTAATAAGGGTTGGCATCCCGTGTGCATAAAGGTGTCTCGCCTTTATATGGAATCGGGAACATTAAAGAATCGTGATCGCTACATGTAGGCAAACTGCTGCGGAGAAAATAGGCGTAATCTACTGAGCGAATTTTTGACATAACTTCGACTACCATATAAAATTAGTCAGACTAAGGTCAGCATCCAAAATCACCTATTGAGCATCCTTGCCCTGTCCCACCAGAATACACTCGAATCTGTTTCTGTTGAAAAATTTTCACTTCTGACCAGCAAGTGACTGTAATTGCGTGAACGATAGAGATCTAGTAAGCATATTTCACAGGCAGCAGCAAGCTCTTGTCATAAGTCACAATGCTGTACAAAAATTCCTCAAGATGTTAGGTAAGAACATTATTTGATGAAGTGTTGAGTAAGTGCTCATCACTTTTTTCCCCATTTCCCATCAAGGTTGCTCACGTTAGGAAAAGATATACATACATAAACACATACATACATACGTACATAAATACATACATACATATATACATACATAAATACATACATACATACATAAATACATACATATATACATACATAAATACATACATACATACATACATACATACATACATACATACATACATACATACATACATACCTGGAATAAGTTCCCTAAACCTCCAGCTCACTAACCGCCTGTGCAATTCAGCCCAATGAACGCTGTCCCCGAATATTTGAAACAATTGAGCGTGTCCTTTTGTGGAAGATTGAAACGGTGGTGCTGCTTCTTCACGCATCTGGAGTTCTTCCTTTGAGAAGTACCATGTTTTGAAACCGAGTAGTCCCGTGCAAATCCCGTGATATTCAAGCGCTTCCACTGCCTCCACCAGTATCCCATGAGACCAAGGCAATGGCTGCGGTTTACTAAGAAGCTCAAGCGCAGAGAGATCCACACAGAGCCCTAAACTCCGTCTAGTCAAGATTGCAAAACACGTCGTACAACTATGTAATAAATGCTATTCTGCTGCGTCATATGGTCAGTCTCCCAAGGAGTCGAACAAACGATAGGAAAACTGATGTCTAATGATTTGAATGAAAGCGATGAAGACAAGTCAAAGAGAGTGGTCGCTCCATGTCTTTCAAGCTTTCAGGGTCTAGAATAAATTGTCCAGTAGCACGGACGAAATAAGAGTACGTCGTGAACCCTTTCTACTCCCAGTGTACTGTCGGACAAGAGCGTGATCATCAAAACATAAGATCAAACTTCATATTGCTGGCTGCTACCGCTGTAGCTAAGACAGGCCCTTACACGTCTGTTTGGTAGTTTTTTTCATATAGTTCTCACTCTGTGCCTACTGCACATACTCCTCGATGATTCAATAGCTTCAAGCTACAATGCTGTAGTCTTCTACGCTGTAAAGACCCACCTCTGTGAAGCTGCAAGTTTCATCATTTGTCTCAATGACTTCTTCTTTTTCACGATTTTTTTCAACCCGTAAAGTTGAAGCTATATCTGCTATATGAGAGCAACTTTTTCACGTAGAGGCGCTCACAGACTCGGTTTCTGAGCGGTTCAGAATAGTAAGCTCAAAAATGTTCCTGTTTTCCAGCGGACATTTTTGCCAGTAATGAACAAGATTCTGATGCTGGTTCTAAAACTTGGGTGCTAGAACCCCGCAGACAAGGCTCAACAGCCCACATGGCTGCCATAGCTCCCAGTTTCAACGTTTGAAGTTCTTTGGTCAAAGTATGTAGCAGTGGTCCTGCCTACCCCAAAAACCTAGTTTCTCGCCATTTTCTTCAACAGATGGAGAACATGAGTAATGTGCTACACAGGCCCCCGCTTTATGAGTGCATAATCAGCTGTGATAGACGAGTATACCCTGTAAAAAATATCAGGAGAAATCACCACGATCTTCCTTCTAATAGGGTCAACGCCTTGCAATACAATTCCATGCAAAAACTACTGCCACAATGTTTTAAAACATTCTCGCAGTGATGCATGAGTGTTTAACGATGGCTGTGAAAAATCATGGCAATGCACTCTAAAATAAACAATATTATGGAAAATTTGTCATGCTTCACCATGTTTTTTTCTTTCAAGAATACCGACATAACAAATATGCTGACATAATTGCAAGACGAAGTGTATCGCACCAGCAGAGCTCTCTGATACTGAAAACTTGTGCATGCCTCTTATATTTCGTGAAGCTTTTCACGCATCATTACTAGAGGGCGAAGCGTTAATGGATTGAAACAATTCGATTTACACTTGAGTTCAGCGGCAATATCTATCAATATCAATATCAATATGGTGGCAATTGCCCACGCTTAACCTCACTTGACTTGAGAGAACTACAAAAATCGCTATTCGCAGAACACATTCAAAAATATTAGGTGGGTGCATTAATTTCCGCCGTTTTTTGCGTGTAAAAAATAGTTATTACAAGATTAAAACAAAATATGCTTAAACCAATGTATTGCTCATCGTTAGCCACAACTTCCTGCCATCTTTTTGGTAGCTTGTTGATTCCAAGTCTAAAAAAGTCTTCATCTTCTGAAGCAACTCAGTCATCCACCCATTTCCGCATTTCTCCGGCATTCCGGAAGCGTGTATCTGCCAAACTGACTTGCATGAACCGGAATTAGTGGTAATCAGAAGGAGCAGGATCCGGGGAGTATGCGGGCTTAACAAACTGACCCCATCCAGAATGTGCAGTTCTTTTAGGGACATTCTTCGCAGCATGGGTGTGGAATTGTCGTGGTGGAACAGCACCTTATGATGTTTTCTTGCGTTCAACCGCGCTTTTGGGTGTGAGCTGCAGGTTCGTTCAGATGGAACTTATTCTCCATAAGTATCGAAAAGCATCCGGTGGGCTTCACTGGCAGTTTTCTTAAAATCAAACAACAGGAAAAGGCCCCTTCAGAAAAACAATTTATCACGTTCCATAAACAACCAATTTGAGTGCAGCGGGATTCTCAGGAAAAA